AGGATTGTTAATTGACATTTATGACGAAAAATCGTTAACTTATCATTGTTTTAATTATAGATATTGTAGTCGTATTATTTAAAGTTTCATTTTTGTCGGTAATTGTATTATTATTATTAGGAATGCGTAAAAAAAAAAATATGTGCACTCAGATAAATTTTAATAAAATTTCACATAATGCGTAAAATTGTAAATTTTTATAATAAATTTAAAATTTTATGCACCCTTGCAATTTATGCAGTGCGTAGAAAAACAAACCCCATAAAATTTTATTACAGTAAGTAATAAAATATATTGTCATATAATCTTGAATTTGTTTTGTAATTGATTACTTTAACTACAGCTTTGTCAATATCAAATTATTTCTATTTTGAAACTTTTAACGTGGATTTTTCGTAAATAAATCACATGATCTAGTCAGATGTTTCGTGATTCTCGGGCCGAAAATTTTCCGAATTTATATATAAGAATATTCATTCGGCAAATCGGAACAATTTTACATTTCTTTTATTTCTTTGAAAATCGAAAGTCAGTTATAATGTATGATGATAAATTTTTACCAAAATTATCTCAAAATTTACTTGAAATTTTAGAAGATAATGAATTTTATGATGTAACCATTGANGGTTTTTCGCTCTCATATGGTTATTTTAAATTATCGTTCTCCTTATTTTGCGAAGAATTTTATCGACTAACGTTAATAAAAAGAATAATGATGGAATTTTGGTACATATTAAATTACCAAATATTTTACCTGAAATTTTTCAAATGATTTTAAGGTAGGAAATTGAAACAATAAATTATAACGATTTTTTTTTTTTTTGTAAAAAAACATATGTATATATTTAATTCTTACGAAAATATTCAAATATTTTATTTTAGATATATTTATGGAGGAAAACTTTCTTTAGAGGAATATGATACTTCGGATATTATTAAAATTATGATTGCCGCCAATGAACTTAGTCTTCAAGAATTAATCACTCATTTACAATCATTCTTGATTGAAAATAAAAAAAATTGGATGGAACAAAATTTTAGTTTAATATATAAAACAAGCTTTGAAAACGATTCTTTCTTGGAATTACAAAATTTTTGTACAGAATTAATATCCAACGAACCTGAAAAAATTTTTAATTCAATCGATTTTATTTCACTTTCAGAAAAATCTTTAATTTCTCTTATTCAACATGATAACTTTCAAATGAATGTTATTCAAGTTTGGGAACATGTACTTAAATGGGGTATTGCTCAAAATCCTGGACTTTCTTCAGATCCTTCAAGTTATTCAAAAGACGATTTTATTACTTTAAAAAATACTTTACAACGATTTGTTCCTTTTATTAAATTCTTTAATTTAAATCATAAAGAATTTTTAAACAAAGTTTATCCGTATAAAAAAATCATACCAAAAGATCTACGTGAAAATTTAATTAAACATTTTATAGATCAGCCAAATCATAAACCAGAATCAAAAATAATAACTAAGGAAATTACTAGTTCAAAAAGTATTGATTCACAAATCATTACATTTCAACATGTTGAATTAATTTCAAGATGGATCGATAGATTAGAAAATAATGACAAGATGAAAAATTTATATGAATTCAAGTTAATTCTTCGTGGAACCAGGGATGGATTCTCAGCTAGTAAATTCCATGAGATTTGTGATTATCAATCTCATACTATATCAATTATTAAAGTGAAAGATAGTAATGAAATTCTTGGAGGATATAATCCGATCATATGGAAATCTGATAATACTAATGGTACTACTAAAGATAGTTTTATATTTTCTTTTAAGAATAAAGAAAAGATTGAAGAAAATATTTTAAGTCGAGTAAAAGATGAAAATTTTGCCATATGTAATAATCCTAATTTTGGTCCAGTATTTGGTGGTCATGAACTTATTTTGTGCACAGATAATCATAATGGGATGATGCAATTCCCAGCATATTATGAATTGATTAGAGAAATTGGTAACTTTTTTGTAGAAGAATTTGAAGTATTTCAAATTATGAAAGATTGATTAATTAAAGATGTTAGTATATTCTTTACGATTCATATGTATTTAGTATTATTTATTTACCTGAAAATTGTTACTATAAACTAAATAAATGGTAATAAAAAAAATTTTTTAAGTTTCTTCAATACAATTTATTTTTTACGGATGAATATTATATATTTTGCATTTTATTAGTAATAAAATTTTTATTAATTAATGGAAAATATTGACGAGATAATCTTGAATTCGTTCTAATTTATTACTTTAATTATTATTTCTATTGTACGAATTGAAATTGTTTTAACTGATTTAGTAAATAGCTTTCTTTAGTTCAAAAAATATTTCTTTGTTATAACATAAATATAACATACTCATTTGTGACTACTGAACTGTTGTTAAATATATTTTTATACTAGTAAAAAGTTTATCATAAAATGAATGGAGATAAATGATTAGAAATTCTAGTGAATCAAAAATCGTTGTTTATTGTCGAAAAAAAAGTAAAATAAAATTTAAGCACACGTGAATAATAATTTAATTTTACAGCATCAGTCCTTCCGCCAAATCAGTTGTTAGTCTTAAATAAATCGAGCATTGGTAAACATTGATACCACGTGTATATTCGCGCCTTCAACATGATATCATGACAAAGTGGTTGATCTAATGATGTAATTTCAATCTCAATACTTCAACTAATTAAAAAGTTCTTTACGTTTCAATATCTTCTTAACTTTTCCGCTAATAAATATATAGAATGAACTTCAGTTACTAAAAAAGAAAAACAAATAATTTATCCTATAAGTTTAATTGGTTCAATGAAAATTTTAGATTCTTTTTTTCATTTTTTTTCTCCTATTTAAAGCTTTAATATTTCCAAGAAATATCGTAACAATAGCAACATTTTTACTCCAATAGAATTATAAATCGTTTAATGCATCTATTTTTATAGATAAAATTATGTAATTCATAATTTATTCCAATTTCATTCCACAATTCATTCGATCATTTAATAGCTTCAATTAAAATATAGAATTACCATTGCTAGACTAAAAATTTGATTATAAAATTTCTAAGATTTATAATCATTCATTATTATTTGTATCATACACTATCAAATACATATGCCATGAATCCTTCCGTATTATGATATCTAATAGGAATATTTGGTTTATGTTGAAGGTACGGTATCTCGTTGGACGGCCTACGGATTTGGCTTCTAGTAGCTCTTGGAATTCATCTTGGACAAATATTCAATTATATTATTTCGCGCATAACTTTCCTACTAGTATAACATCTGAAAAGTCTAAGGTTACATTTCAAAGTATTGTTCGAGGTAATGATACTGTAAGCCGAAAATTAAATCTGATTACATACACCTACTGGACGTTAGCAATTACCATATTTTTTATTAAATGATAATAATAAAAAATTTTGAAAAGCACGATTCCTACCTCTTATATATGTAAAGTACATTATAAGTAAATATTTCATCTTCAATAATACATACCAAGATAAAGTTTTTTGCATAATGCGTAAAATAAATTCGCATCATTTTATTAAAAAAAAAATTAATTTGAGAATGAAATATATATTCCTATCAATAATAATATAAAATGTAGAAACGAAAAAAATTATCCAATAATCCATAATTACAAAATAATGGAAATGTTCCTAATACAAGAAAAAAGCAAGAAACGTAACATTACTTATTATGTAATTGCATGGCAAAATTATGAAAATTATGAAATGTATCGTTTTATGACTTTACATATTTATCTCTTTTCTTTTAAACTCGAAGCAAAAAATAAACTTTTCAAGTAAACCATTTAATTTTTGTTATAAATTAGATATGCTTTCATATTATAAAGATCTATCAATAACAAAAATTTTTCTTTTTCAAAAGCCAATAAAAATAGAAAATGCATTTTATGTTCGTGTAACGTTACTGGTCATATTGCATGATGTAATGCCGTAGTATATCTAGTAAATTTATTAATTGTGAGGCGCAGTATTACATTTAGTCTTAGTGTATAAAATTTTAACTTATTTTTATTTTTATTTTAAATTGGACCGAGAAGTCGTTAAACTAATAATCACATGGATTAAGGTAATTGGTCCGTGATGACCTTAAACTATTAGTCACGAGATTTAAGGATAAATGAGGATCCGAAAGATACTAAATTGAATGAAATCAAGTGATCTAAGGTGTCAAGTGATTAATTTGTTGATCACNTAACTTAAGGTCTCAATTAAAAAATTACTTTGGTACTTTTCTTTTAATTGACAACTGACAAGTTGACATTTTATTTTTTGAATAATGAACGAGAAAAGTAAATTACAAGTATTTGTTCAAAATTTATAAAATAATTATTTATAATACATTTAATAAAAAAAAAAATAGTAAATAAATAAAATAAAAGTTACTACTGTCTCTTATACACATCTATTTTGTTATTTAATGTTATTAAACCAAGCATATTATTGTATTTATTTATATTATTAATAAAGAGTCATTTTGTTAATACCTGAGGTGGCAAACATAATTCTCTATGGGCTCAGGTGTTACAATGATTAATTTTATTGATTTTCATAACGTTACTTAAAATGATTGGACAATTTTCCAAACATTTCCGATGTGCATAATTTGTCTGACAATACATTTTGCTATAGGAAATTTTATTTGTTATGATCCTGCGTTTATTTAAATCTAGGGTAAACAAACAATTCTTATGTAAAATAATAACAACGTGGTTTAACTTTTAAGGAAATATTATAATGAAATCTCGTGTAACGTCGAAATTGTTATTTGTTTGTTAGTCAAACCAACGTCGAACAATTAAAATGTTCAATTGCTTCGGTGAAACGAATTTATAGAATGCACTAATTCAGAATAGTGCCACAAAGTACAATCTGGTCAATATAAAACATGCAACTTTAGTAACTCCTAAAAAATAATAATAATAATAATATCAGCTAAATTAAAAAAGACGCAATAATGTTACAAAAGTCTCTAGCGAATATTATTATTTTATTATATTTATTTCAATTAATAAATTGTCAAACGAAATTTTACGAGCCAAGACAACGATTTGGTCATACAGCAGCAGTTCTTGATGATAATAAATTGTATATGTTTGGCGGATATGATATGACATCAAGTATTGAATACCTTCTCGGAAAAGAGTTTTTTTATATTGATTTTTCTACTCCATTTAATACTAAAGAATTAACATGGGAAGATTTATCAGACTATTATACTCTCCCATCACATGCTTTTTCTGCAACTGTTAAAAGTAATAGAAATAATAATACGTTATTCTTATATGGAGGAATAATCGAATCAACTGCCGAAACATTAGTTTATAGATATGATACACAGAGTAATGCGTGGAGTACTCCAACAATAACTGGTATTAATAATATTAGAAAGCGAGATCTGATTGGAATTATAGATAATAATGGAAAGATGTATTTATGGAGTGGAATGAAAGTTATTAACGAAAAAAATACAAATTATGTAAATGATATGCTTATTTTGGATACAATAAATCTTAGTTGGGGGCAAGGAAGTACAATTGGTGCACCAACTGCAAGAGGAAATTATGGTGCCATTTTATTACCTAATAATAACATTATTTATATGGGTAAGTGAGTAATTTCTATATTTCTAATATTATTTAATATTAATATTTATTTATTATTTAGGTGGTTATAATGGTGAGGAATTAACATTGAAACAGGTAAATTATTCCTAGATAATTTTATAATTTTGATATACTGTATATATTTTTATGTAACTAATTAACTAATTACAATAATTTCATTTAATTTATACACTATACAGGTCTATTTATATGATATAATTAATGATAATTGGAGTATAAAAGTAAGTTTGCATAGATTATTTGAATATGAAAATAATTTATAATTTAAATTTTTTTTTTAATATAGACAACTTCAGGAATAGTACCATCCGGTAGGAGTGGTTTTTCTGCCGTTCTCGGTATGTACTTAATCAATAATATAACAACAAATAAACATTCCATATTGAAATTTTTATTTACTAATAGGATTAGATGGTCAAAGAATAATAATTTTCGGAGGTACCACAACTGTCGCACGTAATAACCTTACAATTGAAGATTCACTTTATGAGTTAAATTTAATCAACTTTGAATGGCGTATTCCAAAAATTTCTGGGCAAATTCCAAAAAGTCGAATGTATCATAAAGCAAATGTGATTGAAAAATATATGGTTGTATCATTTGGTAAGTATAAATAATAAAAATATAATTTAATATAATAATTTTTAAATTGATATGAAATTAATTTCGATTTTTATATAAAAAAATATATTTAAATTTTAATAGGATTTGGTTATGATCCTCCAATTGAAAGCGATATTTTATTACTTGATATTAGTAATAATAATGAATACATATGGACTTATAATTTTGTTCCTTCATATAATCCGGATCCATCAAGTCTGCCGTCATCATCAATAGAACAATCGTCATCACCAACACAATCATCATCACCATCACATTCAGTAAATTTACTTTCAGCTCAACAGTCTGAAAAATCATCATTAACTATGATTGTTTCAATTGTGGGATCTTTGTTTGCTGGTACTATATTGTTATTCGGATGCTTCTTTATATATAGATGGATTAAGATTAAACGAGAACAAAAAAATTAATGATTATTCCTGGAAATGATGATATAAATAATAATAGTCGGAAAAGAATGTTAAATACTAATGAAAGAAATAAGAATTATGGAGCGATTTCTATATTAATAATGAAGGCTACCAATAACGATAACGGTAATAATTTTTTAGATTATATGTATTCTTTTTAAATAATATAATGCTCCACAATATGTTGTCATTTAAATAAGTTGCATCATAAATAAATCGATAAAATTTATTCATGATTTAATAATGATTTATGATTAGTGCTTAGTTAATTTAAATAATAGGAATTGATTTACAATTTAAATATCGCGAATAAAAGCAGAAAACTTATTTACCGAGAAGTTTTGCTAATGCATTTGGTAGCACGTAAATAATTTTAGTTCGCGACATTCCTATACTTTATTGACGACATTAATAACTTTTTGTCAAAAAAATAACTTAAGGTCTCAATTAAAAAATTACTTTGGTACTTTTCTTTTAATTGACAACTGACAAGTTGACATTTTATTTTTTGAATAATGAACGAGAAAAGTAAATTACAAGTATTTGTTCAAAATTTATAAAATAATTATTTATAATACATTTAATAAAAAAAAAAATAGTAAATAAATAAAATAAAAGTTACTATTCTTGTATTCTTGAGATTCGGTGTTATCGTATTCCGATTTATACATAAAGTTTATTCTTCAGTTTCGTTACTAATTTTAACGTGTTTTTCTATTAAATAATAAAAACATGATCATCTGAATGTTGCTTACAATTACACCATATTTAAATAAATAATTTACTTACTATTAACGTAAATTTCGTTTTCAATACCCCGTTTTCCCGAAGGATTTATTTCCGAACTTGTTTTGCTCAATGATTGGCTGGTATAAAATATACAGTGTGCTGAGTATTCAAATTTTGAATAATAAAATCTCTGCCTAAATATAGTAATATTTTGATCGTACCTTTGAATACCATCTATGTCAAAATCAAGTTCTCTTGTTACGTATTCTAAAAAAAAAAAAAAAATGAGTTAAATGTTAATTAATAAATAATTAGTGATCATATAAAATAAAATTACCGTTATCATTATTTAATTCTTTAATTATTGTTTTACTTGAAGACTTGGAAATAAAAGGACTTAATGATATACTCGTAAAAGTTGCTTTTGAATGAGGCATTTTGGGACCAAGTGAATTATATTTTATTAGATCTTTTCGTATTTTTTCAGCTTGAATAAACTGATTAGCATCTTCTTCTTTTTCTGACCAAAGTTCTAAACTTTTGCAAATTTTTTCAGCAAAAGGTCTTTTTTTTGGATCAGAATTCCAACATTTTTTCATTAAATTAGCAAAATCTTCAGGAGTATCTTCTGTAATTTCAGGTCTTGTTCCATCGATAATTTCACAAACTAAATCAACATCATGTTCAACATTTGCGAAAGGTTTACAACCGGTTGTCAATTCCCACATAATCATACCCATACTATATACATCAGATTCTTTTGAAAATGTTTTCCCTTTAAATATTTCTGGAGCAATGTAAGGTATTACTCCATATATTTCATTGCTTGATAAAGTATTATTTGCAGGTTGTGATAATCCTAAATCTCCTATTAAATATTGATTTACATGTTCAATTATTTCAACCAATATATTACCACTATGAAAATCTCGATGTACGAGATCATGTTTATGAATAGCTTGAAGACCATCCGAAATTCTCCATAAAATATGTAATTTATCCTTCCATGTAATTTTTGTAAAATGTTTTTGTAAATAATTATGTAAATCCCCTCCATTTGCATACTTCATTATAAACATAAATTCTTTTGTCATAAGATTTCTTGTAACACCATGACATTTAATAATATATTCAAATTTCCTATCATAACATTTATAAAGTAATTTTAGCTAAAAATTAATAAAAAAAATAATTAGATAATAGTTTTAAATTAAAAAAATAAAAGTTTTTAAAATTTAAAAAAAATTTACCTCATTTAAAAAATCTCTACTAGTATTTTGAGAATTTAAAACTTCTTTTACAGCAACAATATTTCCATCATATGAAGCTTTATGAATAATACCATGTCCTCCTCTAGCTATTTGTTCTAAATTTGTAAGTTTTGAAAATGGAATCCATTCAGGTCTTAGTTTTATTAAAGAAGAAGAATCATTATTTGGATTATTATAATGAACATTTTCTTTAATATATCTATATATATTTAATGGATTTAATGGGTTAGAATTTTCTTTAATATTATTGATGTAACAATTAATTTGATGATAATTATCAATATTAATTTTTTTAAAATAAATAAATTCATCTATATTATAATTTCCAGTAATATTAACAGAAATATTTCTTTTGCATTTTTTACATTGAGATTGATGAATAAATCCAAAAATAATATTTGTAGTTAAACAATATCTACATCCAATATAAATTATAAAACAATTTGAGCACCATTTTTGACAATCAGTTTTTGGTTCTAGAGGCTGATAACAAATTATACATTTATCATAAGTATCCCACCATGGTAAATAAAGAATTGGAATACGTTTGTTAATCAAATTTGATTGTATTAATTCAAATGAAATTAGGTAACAATTTGAACATAAGTTAAATGATACATAATTATCATTTCGTATATAAATTAATTTTTCACATAATCTACAATTTTCTTCATAATAATCACCAGAATCAAATTGTTGATCTGTGACAATTTGTTTGAAGTATGTAATCTCAGAACAATTTTCACACCATTCTTGAACACAAAAATCCAATTTTCTTGGTTCATGTTTATCACAATTAATATTAGTTGTGCTTATACATATATCTAAGTTATTAATTGCACATTTAATATCCTTATTACTAGTTGAACACTTAATACACCAATAAAAGCAATCTTTGCAATATCTTTGATTAAATAATGATGTTTCAGAATAAATTTTTTTACAATAATAACAACTATACATGTTATTATGAAAAGGAATAAACATAATTGGTATAGCTAAGTCAAAAGGATTTTCTAAATTTGCGATTTGAGAATATAAAATTCTTAAAGGAAAATAATTAAGTTTCTTTATAAAATGATATATTTCTAATAAATTAGAATTTTCATCAATATTATTCACATAATTATAAATCTGATCATAATTATGAGCGTTAATTTCTAAAAAGTACTTAATAATATTTGTCATATCATTCAAATGAACAATGATGGTTGAAATTCTTTTACATTTCTTACATTGAGATTTTTCTGCAATTCCGAAAATAATATTGGTTGTTAAACAATATCTACATCCAATATAAATAATGATACAATATTTGCACCATTTTTGACAATCGGATGAGAAATTTAATTTTAAACCACAAACTATACATTGATCATAAGCATCCCACCATGGTAAATAAAGAATTGGAATATGTTGATTATTATAAGTTGATTCACTAAATTCGAAAGAAATTATATAACAACCTGGACAAATAATACTTTTTCGTTTGTGACCACATAATTTACAAGTTTCATATAAATTACGATTCCTATTATGTAATAATTGATTTGAAACTATCTGTTTGAAATATGAAATTATAAAATGTTCATCAACGTAAACATCCAAATATGTATTAATACTAGTATCATTATCGGTAAGAAATTTTGTATATACAAACAAGCAAAATATGCAATATTTTTGGTTCTTACTTCTAAGATATTCATTTCCACAATAACAATAACTCTTATTTATATTAAAAGGAATAAACAAAATTTCAGTAGGGCTAGACTTTAATTTTGGTGTCGGGTCAAAAGAATTCTTGTTACTAGTCATTGTACAAAAGTTTTAGTTTGAAAAACATACGACAATACTTATTTATTTCGGAAATTAACCTAACCCATATTAGCCATATTAGTAAATATTATTCGGAACTTGAGAATATATTTCCGTGGGAAAACCGGTAATTAAAAATGGAAATAATGGTAATTGTAGATCATCTATAAAATCATTGTAAAAAATTTTTAAGATTTCATTGTAAATAATAAAACTTAAAAAATTTCTTTAATTAAGTTGCAGTAGAATAAGCATGTACATGTGCTGATTAATTTTGTACGATTTTTTTTTTTCTCCATTGCATGATAACATGTATCTTGAATTTAGTATGCTGACATTGATCGTACAATTCGTGCATGTCGATCAATTTTAAGCCCGCAGACCCACACTTCCTTTCGTTGCTTACAATAAAACAACAAACTGAGGAAAGAATAGGAACCATTATAAAATTATCACAAGGAAAGTTGTTCTTTGATCTATTCTAAAATAATAAGAATTATTTTAAGATGTGTAATATGTATTCGTCTAAAAAATTATATTTCAGAAAAAATTTTTTGATATTATCATAATCGATGACAAAATTTTTTTTTTTATGTATTTTTAAAAGTAGGGACGAAAATTAATTAATATGAGATCAAGTAAAAGTGGTAAGAGCCTTTAGTTGTTATGTTTTTAATTTTTTTTTTTCGTAGTTTGTTCTTTTTTTAATAAATTATTTAATTTATATATATATATATTTTTTTAGCGTTAGACGTTAGATATGGTGTAAATAATAGTTATCTATTAGAGAGAACTATGGAGAACTATGCTTAAATTAAGTGAGGTGCAAAGAATCATAACTTATTTTATGTTAACAAAACTCAATATAATATTTTTGATTTATTTTAACATTTATTTATCTTAATCATAATTTTATTTGTATTGAATAATTTAATTAAGGCTAAATAATAATAAATATATATATATATATATATCTTTATTTTATTTAAAGTGGGATCTGTTTAAGTTGTTAAATAATTTAGACAAGAATGTAAAAATGAGATTCTTTTCGTTTCTATATATAAAAATTACGTGGTTTGATTGGTCATATGTCATGTGATCCAGAATCATTGGTTTAATGATCATCCACGTTATCACGTTTATACAATTTATTATGCAAAATATTATCTGAAACTGCTTTTTTTTATTTATTTTCGAAATATGATTACTTTTTTAAGGATCTACTTTAATCAATACTTTATAAATTTAATTGATATATTAGATTTTGATCAGCATTAAAGAACCAAATGATTTAATATACCGGATTTTGTTGCCGTTATTAGCTTATTTAATCTTAAAATATCTGTAAAAGAATTTGTTAATAAAGTATGGCTAATTATTTATGATTGTATTTGTTCTAGTTTAGGTAACATTAAAACAATAATGGAAAAAATTAATTTGCTTGTTATTATGTTTACAATAATTATTAATTATGGTACACATAATAATTTTTTAAACATGGAATTATTGACGGTTATTATTAATATGAGAATGTTATTGAGAGATAATGTCCTTATGATATAGTTAACATCACAGTGCATCATTTAAAAATAATATAATAATAATAATACTGTAATAATAATTTATTTGCAATTATTTCATTACTTCTGCAAAATAATAATAAGATAAATTCCTACTAAACATTATAGTTATAGATAATTTAACTGGTTTATTCTAATTACAAATGAATTCCAATTGAAATATTTTCAAGTCTCTTTACTTGTTTCTTTTGTTGATGCTTAATAAGGTATAGATTTATTTTATATGCTTTTTTTTAATATGCTTTGCCATTTTGGTGGGTGTACTAAACCTTAAGTCACAATAAGCACATTCTGCTGCTTTATTTTTCTTAATTTTTTTCCTTCTTTTTTCGCCTTCATCATCATCATCTTCATCATCATCATCTTCTTCTTCTTTTTCTTCATAATCACTTTCTGAATCCTACAAAAAAAAACATTAAATATCAATAAAATAATAAATTTCAAAATGAAAAAGATATGTAATGATAAATATTATGAAAATATACCTTGCCAATATTATCATCAATCCCCTCTAATTCTAAACTCTCTAATTGTAAAGTAAAGTCGGGTAAAACATCACCAGCATCTAAATCTTCCCATTTACGTTGATAACGATAGGGTGAATCACGCTTATTCCTTTTATAAACCCAGATAATACGATTAATAGGGTCAATCAACCATCCTAATTTAACAGATGTACCATGCGCAAAATAATCCTTTTTAATTCTATTATCAATTTCTTTTTCTACTTCACTATTTTTAAGATTAGCAACTTCAACAATAAATATGGGATTGAAGGGTTGACCTTCAAAGGACCAAAGTTGCTTTTCATCAAGTGAAAGGAAAGTACCTTCAGGTATAAAAGCAACATCTGGTGCTCGAATCTTCTGTAAATTAGTGACATTAAAATCGAAGCCACCTTTAGAAGTGGTTACAACTCCAAGTCCATCCTTTTTAGTTTTAATATTCCAATTACCTAGCTGTCTAGAGATCTCATGTACAACAGCATCAATGGCAATTGGAGAATATGAAACAGGAATTAGTTTTCTGTTTACAAGCTCAAAATTGGGATTTATTTTAAGATAATTATTAATAAGTTCAAGTTCGTTAACACTATAGCAATAGTCAAAGTCCAAATAATCTTGAAGATTCAAATCATTGACTAGTATGCAATAGTCAACGTCAAGATTCAAATCATTGACTAGTATGAAAGAAAGGTTAGTAAAAGAAAGGTTAGTAAAATGAACAGAATAACAGAATTCTTTATAAAAGAGTTCTTCCAAAAACACCAATTGCTTATTTTAATTACCAATATTATTTTTTCTTGTTCTTGCTACAGTACTGGATGATTGTTTTATTTTGGATGGCTTTTTTGTTGACCTTTTTCTCTTTTGTGACATACTGCTTAGTTGTACTTTTATTAGATTACGCTTTGTGTTATGCTTTTGTGCTTTATTAGATTACGCTTTGTGTTATGCTTAGAATTTTTTGGCA